CCCCAGTTTTATCTTCCACAACACCAAACCTTGCCTGCACTTCCCCCTGGGGCTGCTGGTTGGCAGTTTGCTCAGTTGCTGTTATTTTTGACTCCCATCCAAGCTTTGTGTGATATTAATAGCTGTTTCACAGAACCGGAATCGTCCTCAAACCAGCCCTAATTTTAGCAGGAGAAGGAGCCAAGAACCTCTGCCGAGGCCTGGGGGGACTTGGAGCTGGGAATTTCTCCTCCCCCAAAAGCCCAGGGAGCCAAAACACCCCAACCCAACTCCCTCAGCCCCATCCCGAGGTCTCCTGGGAGCCCAAAGGCACAGGGAGATGCTGAAAGAAGAAGGTGCTGACATGAGGATTCAAGAATCAGACATTGTTGGGTGCCTGATTAATGCCTCAGTGTAATCAAGGCAGAGCAATCGCTCATTGTTCACCCAGCAGTGCTAACAACTAATGGCCAAATTACTCTTTTTCTATTAAAGGTTGTCAGTAATAGGAAAAAACAAACAGAGAAGATGAAAGCATCTGCCCCCCTCCTCCAGTGATGAATTCTCCTCCCCCCCTTTGGCTGCTGCAGTGACTCATCAGCATCCTGAGGGGGGAAAACAGCCAGGGGTTGTTTCTTCTTTGCTGGGAGGAATAGGATTCGAAGGCTGATGGTTCTTCTCTGTTTAGAGTCCACCTGGGGCTGTTTTTTTTTAATTTAAACATATTTTCTACTCCAGGAAAGAGAAACACCCCAGGTCACCCACACCCACCCCAGGTAATTCCACCTCCTGACGCAAGACTGGGGACCAAACCTGCTGTTCTCCTCCCTCCTCTGGACTCAGGACCACAGGCCATGATCCTGCCCCCATGGTCCTTGTCTGGGGTAAAATTGCACAGCACAAGCCAAAAACAGAGCCAGAGGGCAGAGCTGTGGGTCATCAAGAATTTACTGCGCTGCACAGTCAGGACAGTTTTAGCAGAGCTCAATAAAAACAACAGTCACTTTGGAAACTTCTGTGTGTTCCAGGTCTCTTCACACAGCCCTGGGCAAGGTCACAGGTCCCCAGGGGGGGAGACTCCCACTCCCACATCTCCCTCTCCTCCCCCTCCCCAGCCCTAATCCATCCAGGCTGCCCAGGAATCCTTTGGGTTTGCACCTCCACACCCCTCCACAAACTTCCCCCCTTGGGAGCAAAGTGTAGGAAAGGTTTCTTTGGAGAAGCCTCAGCCCCTGGGGAGCTTCACTGAGGAGAGGCTTTTGCCCACCAGACCGATCCAACACTGCCATCCTCAGGATTCCAGCTGCACAGCCGGCCAGGTGGGGATTGCAGGCTGTGCTGGTGGAAAGCCTGGAGTTCTGACAAAAACTTGGGGCGGTGCTGTGCCAAGAACATCCTGTGGAGCCTTAAAAAAAAAACCCCAACCAGCTCAAAATTGCTTCACAGGGGGAGCAAACCAGGTGTTAGTGAAAGTGTCAGTCGGTTCCTCTAGAGCTTTAATGATTAACACTGAACAAACCCTGCTCATTACGGTCTCCACCAGCCCTGCATCCAGCACAGCATCAGGGAATAAAAATACATTGCACAATAAAATCCCAGTGAGAAGTCTCAGTTAAGCTGAAAGATAAAAGAAGGCAAAACATCTGAGTACGTAAAGCTGCCAGGAAGGGGCCAGGGGGGACAACCTGCGTTTGTTGGACTTGTGGGTGTGCAAATGCCAGGACGAGACCAGCTCCCAGGTCCTCACTTCAGCATGGGAGAGGCAAAGAAGTTGCCCTGGTGCCCGAGCTGGGTGGTTGACTTGCTTTTGCTCCCAAACCTGAGCCAAGAGAAACAAAAAAAAAGCCAGTTTGGAAGCTGGGATAGAGGTCCACTGCTGTCCCTCTCCCAGGGGGACATCCACCCAGGTTTTACCCACTCCCCCAAAAACCATCACTCAGCTATTGCTGCCGCAGCGCTGCTCCAGGGAGGGTTCTGCTCCCACAGCTGGGTCCACAAGTCTATTTTCAGCCCTCCTGGACCGCCCTGCAGTCACTCCAACAAGCCCCTGGCACTTACCTGGGAGTGGTTTTGCTGAAGGTGGACCGGACCCTCTGGGACAGGGAGCTGGACGATGGAGTCTTGGAGAGCTTCTGCTCCGGGGTGGTGAGGGGTCCCAGGATGCTCACTGCGAAGAGACAGGCACCAAAGTGAGCGGCTGTGGGCACAGCTGAAGCTTCCACTGCCACGCAGGGAACGCCCAGACGTTCCCCAGCCTCTGTCAGAAACACCAGACAAATCTGGTATCTGCTTCTCCCTCTTGCTCCGTAAGGCCAGGCAGGAAGGGCTGGCTCTGGCAGCCCTCCCAGACAGCTTGGATTGAGGGTTATTTTTAATAACAGAGCAGAACCCAGGGCTACCTTGAACCTCAGGGGTCTGGGGGGTGGAGTAGGCATTGACATTCTCGATCACGTGCGCTGGGTCGATGTTTTCCTGCTCCACCATCATCAGCTGGCTCCAGTAGTCCATGGGCAGCAGCAGAAGTCGCTCCACGACCTACAGAGACGCCTGTGGGTTGCTGATCACAAAGATCACTTCATTCCACCCCCTGCCATGGGCAGGGACACCTTCCACCGAGCCCAGCTTGCTCCAGATTGGCCTGGGACACTTCCAAGGATGGGGTAGCCACAGCTTCTCTGCCCAACCTGTGCCAGGGCCTGCCCACCCTCACAGGGAAGATGTTTTTATCCACGCCCTCCATATCCCACCTAACCCTGCCCTCTGTCAGTTTGAAGGTCAGTTCTTTAAAGGGGCTGATTTCACCCCAACTGGCCCTTCCTGCTGCCCTACCTTGGGCTGCCTCTTGGTGTCCTGCAGGAGGGTCATGGGGTCAGGGTCAGGGACCGCGTGGGCGACGATTGTGGGGCCGAACACTTTGGCCAAGTTGGAGATGTCCATTTTAGTATCAGGGCTCTGAGCCACCCTGTGTGAAAGGGAAGTAAGAAAGAATGTAGCTCTTCCCTTTCACTTATCATACAACTCCCTCATCCCACACGCACACTTCAGCCTCTGAATGAGGGTTTTTGTTTTTTTTTTTCCCAGAGTGAAGATTTTATGCTCTCAAGGGCCAATTAGGGAAAGCAACATCCCCCTTTGAGAATCACAGAGTGGTTTGGGGTGGGAGGGACCTCAAAGAGGTTCCAACCCCCCCCTGCCCAGCACAACAGACCTCTGCAGGTGGACCATGAGGAAAGCCAAGGTGTCCCTGTTGGCCTGGGGAAGTTCTCCAACCGCTTGGTACATAGCAGCAACGCTGTTATCCTCATCTGGGATTTCTAGAGGGGGAAAAAAAATAATAAACCCAACATTTAGACCTCAGAAAGTGGTCCAAGAAGCTGCAATATTCCCCTCACAGCCACAGCCAGCCCGAGAAACGAGGCAGCCAGAAAATTCCCCACGCCACTGTAAGAGTTTTGTACCCTGCCCGCCTGGAACTCTGTGGAGGGCTCCACAGAGCACCCAGACCTGCTGCCCAAACCCACAGCCACCAAAAGCCCGAGAGCTGGAGGTTGTCCCAGAGCAGTTTCTCACCCGCAGCTTCCATGAAAACCTTGTTTAACCGGAAGGTGAGAAGGGGCTCCTTGAGGCTGCGCAGGAAGTCCTTGAGGAGGCCACAGATGGCGTGGATGTCATCCACCTTGCTGAGCAGGGGGATGCTCTTCGCTCTGAGGAACTTCTCCTTCAGCTCCCTCACCGTCTTGTCGCAGCCAGAGACGCGGTAAAGGCCGGTCTGCGGGCACAAAGAGGCAGGAGATGCACTGATGTTCTGCCACTCCCACCTCCTCTCCACACCTGAGCTGTTGCTCCCTCAGTCACCCGCGATCCACACCATAAATAAGGGATTTTGGGGTTAACAACTCGCTTCCCTAACAGGGCAACCCGTTCCATTAGCGCCGTTTCACACCTCATTTTCCTTTTTACCTCATGCAGCCCTCGTTGCTCGATCTCATTAACACAGTGCACGATGATGGAAGGGATCATTGGAGGACTAGAAGGGACAAAATCCATCAAGGTCCCCTAAGAGGCAGGAGGAAAAACAAGAAAAGAGACATTCAGTCATCGAGACGCGGAAAATACTCTCTCAGGGATTCACAGCAAGATCTAAGCTTTGGAAACAAGAATCATTTCTTCTTCACCAGCCCGGAGAAGAACAGCCCTGCATCCATCAGCACAAGGCTGCAGAGCCTGCCTGGAGCTGCCACCTTGCCCACTCAACGCCCTCCTCGCATCACACCCCTACACCCCCTCCCTGGTTATGGGATGATGCATCACCGAGCTCATCCTGCACGTTTCTGTGCAGCTCTGAGCACGGGTGGGGGGAGAGGCAGCCGTGGAGCTGAGCGAGCCCCAAACCCCAGCCAACACCAGCCTGCTTGGGGGGTGGTGGTCTCTGCCCAGACCCACCTCTCCGATCCTGACCGGAGTTCCTGCCAGGGTCGGGATGCAGGGAAGGGGGCAGCGGTCCCGGCACTCGGGGTGAGCGACCACGCGGCAGTCCCGGCACTTGAGGGAGATCTTCCCAAACTTCACCCT